AATCAGAGCAAAGTAAGGAATGGAGAGAAGATAATTAGGTAACAGCATACATTCCTGAAATATATTATGTAATTGTGTCAGACGTCTGTCCCTGAAATTATGCTTCTTTCAGGCCTTGTACTGTAACTGAGTCAACAACTGATTTGGATGGGTTTTTTTTTGTATTGTGACTTCGCAAAAATGCACATTATGATGAGAGAGTGTAATGAGAAGCAGAAGCACTTGTAGCCACTGAAGTCTCTCCTTGCCACTGCTTGTGTGCAGCTGCTGTATGTAAAGACTGACAATTCTGTGAACTCAAGATGAAAGCACTAGAGGGAAAGAAAAAATGACGATGTTTATTCAATAGTACATTGTCAACAACAGCCAGGCTACGATTTTAAAATAGATATATTTGTTCTATATCTGATTTGGAGTCATTCTGCCAGGGCAAAGTTAAAAACTGAAAGTGAGAGAGATTGGAAAGTTATAGTATCATCCTGACTCCTTTTTGCAAATAGGCTGACTAAAGTGCATACTGAAGTATGTCAGTCTGGTCTATCACAGTGACTCCCACATACTAGAGAAATACGAACAATGGTGCTGAAGAATCAGAATGGGATAAACATTAAATTCTTAAAAATTAAAAAGCTAAGACCTTAATGAAGAAAATTTTAAAAACAACAGAAAATAAGAAGTTTTGTACGGGTTTGGGAAAAAAGAAACAACAAAGTATTAACATAAAGAATAATTACGTTATTATGAACTTTGGTTCAGTATTTCTTAGTGGTGGCTCAAATTATCACTATCCTGTAGAGAGGAATATATTTGTGAGCAGTCATTGGTAGCCTTCGTAGTCTTCACGGTATCAGAGTAACATAATCTTTCCAATAGGGCTCAATAATGACCCAGCAGAGTTTATTTATAATTTTCCACTCATTAATTATATTTATTAATAATTTTCTACTGTTTTGAAAAACAAAATGATGTTACATTCTACCTATCCTTGGATCACTGAAACACATCATCTCTAGGTGCCTGTCGTGGACCAGGCCTTGGCATCTAGCTACATATTTAGGCTTAAAAGGTTTATATTACATGAATTGAATAAGGATTGGCCAAGTTCTTCATCTGTAAAATAGGGATAATATCTGATCTCTGTTGCAGTCCCAAGCACAATAAAGTACATTTTTGAGTTGCTGAGATATGCTAATACTAAAAGCTACTTGAATGCTAACAAAAATGAATCTCAAGGTAATAAAAGAAGTGATAATTAATAGAAAATACACTTATTTTTTTCTCATTTCCTCTTTTTTGTGATTTGTCAAGTCACATGACCAACAACTTTTTGTTTATGGAGAGAATAAAATCCAAATGTCATCAGTCACATCTGTGGAGAAGGTAGCAGCCAGTGGATCAGACACCAGCGAGTTTATCACATGAACTGAGAACTCTTTTTTGCTTTTTGGACTAGTCATAATGCTATGGGACTTCACATTTTTATTTAAAGAAAATAAAGTAATGGCAGCTACATGTAAAAGGTCAGAAACACCAACTGCTGATGATTCCACTTCAGTAGCTGTCAGGTATAATCTTCCAAAGCATGGAAAAGGCAACTTGCTCAATAACCCTCTACCTCCTATTTGGAAATGTATTTCATAAAAGACATGCCAAAATATATACAGAGGAGAATACAGGGGCATCCTTTCGCTTTCCTTGCAGCCAGTGTTCAGCTTTCTGGCTTCTCTTGCACTTAGAAAAAATACTACTTCTGATAGTACTAAAATATCATTGTTATGTGGTAAACCCTTTCACTAGTGCTGTGTGTTAGCAAATGAACAGCAATGGGTTTATTTCTCTTTTCTTTTTCCAGCCTTTCCTTCTGATTCTCACTGTACTCTAGCACTGAGCTTGATCTCTTTTAGCTTCATATGACTGCAGAGATGTCCTCAAAAATTGAATTCACTTACAAATGGCAGAATTACTGAAAGGAATTCATGTAGGTGTGTGACTATTTTTTGCCTCCAGTAGGATGGAAGAGCTACTAACAAAATATCCAGGTGATTGTTTCAGCTGGTATTATTCAAAACCTTTGGTTTAAAGCTTCCAACTTCTCATATATAGAATTCTTGGTTCACATAGCTAGCTGAAAAGTGATTCATTAACATAATTAGTAATGAGTCAAGACAATGTAGGCTATGCCTACACTTCATGTTATGCTTTGCTTGGGAGCCTTGCTTTTTGGGCTTCTTGAACTGCTGTTTCCAGGACCGAATTACCATTTTCGGCATATTGCATGTGGGTTTCCTGACTGCTTAAGAAACATTCCAAAAATGGGTCTTCCTCAACAACCTGAATGGCTTAATAGCTTGACAGTTTTAGGACAGCAAAACTACCCAAGGGCAAACTGCACCACTAAAATGAAAGTTGTATGTTCTTTTGAGTATTATTTGTTGGTATCATCATAGCACTTGAGAACTGTAGTAAGAGAAAATTACTTACACATAGAAGTACAAAAGAAGGAGACCATCATTACCTAAAGCAATTGCATCTACATATTAAGCAGAACAGCAAAAAGAGAGCAAAAGACAGGAGAATTCAGTAATATAGAGAGACATCAAAAGTATTCTTAACATCATGGCAGTCTAATCACTGTCAAGCCTCCTTGCAGGTGTTATAGAAAAGCAGTATTTGAGGAGGGGTAATGAGGTGACTAAGCAAATGCTCACAGGGAGCCTCCGCTCAGCTTGCAGAAACACAAAGGAGAAAGCACAGTTGAATGCTGGAATATCTAGTAAGTGGGCATGAGATTAGCATCACTGATGATCAGCATCTCTAAAATAAATAATATGGTGGAGGTAGGTCAGAAAGGACCTTGAAAGTGAGAAGAAATGTTTAAATTTGGTGCAATATAGAAAGAACAGTAGGGTAAAGGAATACAAAGAAAGGGACATTATCACCAGAACAGTGGGCTGAGAGATTCATTCAGTAACATTATGGATGGGTATGAATGAGAAAAAACTACATCTGTCAGAAACGAATAAAATAATGTTGAAATAGCTGAGAAAAAGGATGGAAGCTATGGTGAGTTTACAGTGCATGATGGATACAATACAGTAAATACTAAAGAATTTAAACTGCAAATATAAGATTGTACTTTAGCATCTTTAATGTGATAACATATTACAGACCTGATGTGTAGGTTAAGAGCCTGCCTTACAAATAAGATGTGGTATTTATGTGATAACATTATATAATAAAGAAAACAGGCAGTTCAAGAAGGAAAATTATTCATGTTGATCCTGAGGTCATGAGGAAACAGTAGAAAGGCAGAGGACAAGTTTCCGCCTGTCAAAGAGACAGACTGGAAAATCAAATATATAGGTTTTACATATTGATAATAATGGCAAAATATCTAGGATAGCAGATAAAGTTTTAAAGCAGTTTTAAAGTTTTGAGTAGAAACTTTAGCTGATGCAGACAGGTAGGTGGGAAAGCAGACGAGGTGATCTGAGAGGGACCTGGCAGAGAAGGGGTTATAAACAATGGATTCAGAGAGCTTAGAGAGAAAGAAGAGTAGTAGTGGTAAAGGCAAATGGAACTGGATTGGTACAAATTCGAGCTCTGGAAGGAAAAGATAACTAATGTGTGTGTTAGAGTATGTGTGTGTATATGCATATATTTATGAGCTTAGAAAATAAAGGCTGTACTCCAAAGGGAAGCACTATTCCTTTTTGTTTGTTTGTTTGTTTGTTTCACTGTAGCCACATTACCAGTTTATGGGAAGTATGTGAGTGTTTTAAGAATTTAACAATTCATTTAGAGTAAAAAGGGCATAACACTGGCTTAATTCATGAAGGGTCAGTATTAAAGTGTTCTATTACAAGCTTTGTTCCACTGATTATATAGGTAACTGCTAATATAACTGTTAATATTACATTTAGAGTATAATATACAAGAGGACGTATGTTGCTTTTCTAAGCCTCCTTTGTTGCAGAAAAATATAAAGAGAGCTATATAAAGTCCTGAAATCATAGGCAATTTATCAGGCCCACTATGCGAGCTAATGCAAGACTGGAGACATACTTGCATTGACTGCTGATCATTTTATACCGCTTTTAATGCCTTGAAATGAAAAGAGGGAAATTAATGGGGAAATAAAGAGAGAAAATGGAATATAAATAATGTATTTTTTTGACATTTTGAGTCTTACTCTATTATTAGTCTTTTTATATGGGAAAAAAATCCAATCAAATCAGACAAGTATTCAGATTTTCTGCTTTATCCCAGATACAGGAATTATAGAGGATACTCAAAGAAGTGTTGCAAAATAATATATTTTTGATAAGGATCTAAAGTGAACAGTGAATAGAAACTAACACAAACATGGTTTCTCTAGCTGTGGTGTTTCTTAACACCATTATTACTTGTTGTTTATACTGCAGTAGTTAATATTTTGTCAGCATTTATTTCATATTACTGTTATTAGAAGTCTAAAATTGGCTTTTGAGGCCCTGCTTTAGTCTAAGAATTTACTTCTAGAATGTAAGCTAAATAATCTCAGCTTACTTTAAGTAAAGAAAGGAGGAGAAAGATAGTAAGAAGCAAAATTAATAATTTCAAACACATTTTGCATGCCAGTAACATAAACCTTAATTTGATTCCTAGTCTGAACTGTTGCGTTTAGGCCTAAAATCAAAGTTATCTGGGTATCTGTTTATTTTGGATTATGTCAGAGGACATGACCCAGTGGGAAATAGGGGGCCATCAGGAAGCACCTGAGGAACAGAGTGATGGGAGAGGCTCTCATACCCTCACCTGGTGAACCTTGTGACGGTAGTCCCATCCCAAGTGTCCATGCCTGAATGTAGGCAGCATGGGGAACAAGCAAGTGGGATTAGATGGCCCTGCACAGCCACCAAACTGGGACCTTGTGTAGGATTACAGAGAGGAGTGGGATGTCTCACAGGATGAAAGTGCTGCAGGGGATGGAGGAGATGGACACAGGCTTTTCAGGAAGGATGGGCTGGGAACACGAGGAGCAGGAGCTCCCGTACGAAGGGGTGGCTGCAGTGTGCAGGAAGTTGCCTACGGGGCAAGCTGACCCAGAGCATGGGGGTCAGGAGCAGAGGACAGATGAGCAGGGGTGGTGTGGTGGTACCTCTGCTACATGCTGGCTAGTCAAGAAGTGGAAGCAGAGAAAACCTTTAGGCAGCTGGAGGCAGCCTCAAAACTGAAGGCTCTGTTACTCATAGGGGACTTTAGCTGTCCTGATATCTGGTCAAAAGGCAACAGGACAGAGTGCACGCAGAGCAAGAGATTTCTGGAGAGCATCAAGATGATCTCTTGAAACCGATGATGGAGATAACTAGACCTGCTGGACCTGCAGTTACAAGCAAGGAAGAGCAAGGCTGGAGATGTGCAGAGCAATGGCAGTCTTAGCAGAAACTATGGGTTTCTGAAGTTAAAGACAAAGAGGTAAGCAAGACACACAGCAGAGTCTTAGCAGAAACGATGGGTTTCTGAAGTTAAAGAGGTAAGCAAGACACACAGCCCTGGTCTTAGGGAGAGCAGCTCATTTAGGGATCTTCTTGGCATAATCCAACAGAATTCTACCCTGGAGAGGAAGGGGTCCAGGAAGCCAGTGGATCTTACAGGATAGTTTCCTCAAAGCACCAGCATGGTCCATTCTGATGTACAGCAAGTCAAGTAAGTGTGGCAAAAAGTCAACATGGATGAATGGGAAACTGCTGACTGAGCTCAAATGCAAAAAAAAGGTACACTGAAGCTGGAAGCAGAGAAGGTGCCTGGAGGATTACAGAAGCATGGCTCTAGCATGCAGCTATGGAGTGGAATGAAAGGTGGGAAGGGCTTCTAGAAGTGTATTGGCAGCAAAAGGAGGAGTAAAACACTGTGAGTCCACTGCTCGCTGGGTAGTGGAAGTAGTGGCCAAGGACACAAGAATCTCACCTTTTTATCTTGATTTTTACTGGCATGATCTGCCCTCAGGCCTTCCAACTCATGGAGCTTAGTGGCAGAACTGAAGTGTACAAGGATTGTGTCAGAGACCTTTTAAGCCAGTTGGATTTATACAGACCCGTGGGAACAGATGGGATCTATCCAAGGGTGCCAAGGGAAACAGCTGGCATAATTTAAGGCTGTTTTCTATGGTCTTTGAAAGCTCTTGTTGTTTAAGAGAAGGTTCATCATGACTGGGAAAAGGAAAACTTCATGCTCATCTTCAAGTAGGGGAAGAAAGGATTTGGGGAAGTACGGGCTGGTCAACTTTGACTCACTCTACAAGAGGGTTATGGAGCAAATCCATTTTGCTTCGTATCACTAGACCAGGTTGCTCAAAGTCCCATACAACCTGATCTTGAATACTTCCAGGAAGGGAGCATCTACAACTTCTCTGGGCACCTTGTTCAAGTGTCTCACCACCCACATCATAAATAATTTCTTCCTTGTATCCAATGTAACTCTATTCTCTTTCAGTTTAAAACCATTGCCTTTTGTCCTGCCTTTACAGGCCCTGGTAAAAAGTCTCTGTCTTTGTTACAAGCCTTCTCTATATCCAGAAAGGCTGCAATAAGTTCTCCCAAGAATCTTCTCTTGACTAGGCTTGACAACCCCAGCTCTCTCAATCTCTAACTCTGTTCCAACCCTCTGACCATTTTCATAGCCCACCTCTGAACCTACTCTGTCAAGTCTGTGTCTTTCTTACACTGGGGATCCCAGAGCTGGACACAGTAGTCCAGGTGAGTTCTAGGGAGAGCAGAGAGTGGTGGAGGAGAATCACCTCCCTCAACCTGCTGGCCATGCTTGTTTTGATGCAGCCCAGAGTACGATTGCTTTTCTGGGCTGCAGGCACACACTGCTGGCTCACATCCACTTTTTCATCCACCAGTACCCCCAAGTTCTCCACAGACATGGTCTCAGTCTATTCATCCCCCAGTCTGTATTGATACAGGGATTGCCCTGACCCATGTGCAGGACCTTACTCTTGGCCTTGTTGAACTTCATGATGTTTACGTGGGCCCACTTCTCATGCCTCTCAAGGTCCCTCTGGATGGCATCCTATCCCTCTAGAAAATTAACTGAACTGCTCAGCTTGGCATCATCTGCAGGCTTGCTGAGGATGCACTCAGAGCCACTGCCTATGTCATTAGTGAAGATATGAAGGATGATGTGAAGGGTCTGGAGAACAAGTCTTATGAGGAGCACCTGAGGGAACTGGAATTGTTTAGTTTGGAGAAGAGGAGGCTGAGGGGAGACGTTATTGCTCTCTACAGCAACCTGAAAGAATGTTGTAGTGAGATGGGTGTTGGTCTCTTTGCACCATGGGAGGATTAGATTGGATATTAGGAAACATTTCTTTACTGAAAGAATGGTCAAGCACTGGAACAGGCCACCCAGGGAGGTGATGGAGTCACCATCCCTGGAGCTGTTAAAAAAAAAGTATGGATGTGACACTTCAGGACATGGTGTAGTGGACATGGTTGTGTTGGGTTAACAGTTGGGCTTGATCTTAGAGTTCTTTTTCAACCTTAATGATTCTGTGATTCTATGATATTAAGTAGTATTGGTCTCAGTATGACCCTTGAGGGACACCATTCATTACTGGTTTCCATTTGGACATTGAGCAGTTGCTTGTAGATCTTTGGATCAAATTCCTTATCCATCTAACAGTTCATCCATCAAATCCGTAGCTCTCCGATTTAGACATAAGAATGTTGTGGGGGACTGTATCAAAGGGTTTACAGAAGTCCATGTAATTTTTACCTTTTTGAGCATTTAGAATTTCGGAGACAGAGAAAGGGACACATTAATTATTGGTAATGAGATTGTGTATGATAAACATTACTGTTTTCATTCCTCTTCTTCCCCAGAGAACTGTGTTAGAACTACTGAACTAATTTGTATTAAGCCCATTAAAATATTTTCCTGCGTTTTAATTAACCTCTTAATTTACAAATGTGCACATTTTCCGTTTTAAGTCTCTTTTAAATATTTGTTTTTACATTTTAATCTCCTTCCCATGTCTTTTGTGGTTTTTTTTCTCAAAAAGTGAACAGAGGGGTAAAATATTTAGCAATATTTATTTATTTATTTTAAGCCTGTATGAAATCTTGCAAGTTTCAGTCCTAAATAAGACAGAGTTCTGCGGTGTGGACAAGAGACAGAAATATTCAAGACTGTATGTGCTAATAAGAGGGGAAAAAATGCTATTTCCTCATCTTTAATGTTTCCAGCAGGTATTGTAATGGTTTTTTAAAAAGCAATATTGAAGAACTGACAGGCATGTGGAGGTATTTCTCGTGCATGAGTCACACCTTTCCCTAGCCCCACCAAAAATGCTGTCTACATGGGTTTTTTTATCCATTTGTCATTTTAAGGAGTGGAAGACTACTGTGTGTAACTTATGATGTTCATTGATTCATTGGAAACTACTGTTCTGCTTCCTGAACTCCATATTTCATCTTTCTTCTTAAGTTTTGGGAGAATTTTACATATTAGAGATTTTTCAAACAGCACTGAGACAAGTCTCAGGGAAACGTAATCCTCGTGAGATAATCATAGCTCTGGAGAACTACATTTACTTGGCTACCACTCTTGATTCAAGGTGCTGTAGGATACGATTATCTCATGAGATTTCACGCCCAGTTATTTTAAATAGCTTATGCACTTCCTAACACTTTTTAGCGGTTCTGTATTTCTTCCCAAACTTACAACAAACAAATATTTTGTGCCTTAAAAAGAAGATTGTTTGAGTTATGTCAATAATGCTAATCATGATAAATAAAGCTTTTTTGATTTAACATGGATTATGTAAAAAACTTAAAGCTACAGAAGGGTGCCCAAAACTTCTAACCATCACAATTCTTGTGGCTTCTCTTCAAGAAAGAGGGATTCTAAGAAGATCTGCTAGGATGATCATCACCATCCACAGCCTGTGTCATGAGAGGAGAGTAGAAAGGCTCTTTTGTAAGTGAAAAGTGGTTGTTTTTTATGAATATATTAGAAGACTAAAAGTAATGGAGGAAGTGGAGCTTTTAAAGCTAAAGGACAGTATTGACTCAAACGCAAAGCAGTGTACAAATGGCAAAAAGAAGTGAATTTATATTGGAAATCAGAAGATTGCTAAGCAAAAGCAGAAGCGTGTGGAACAGCTACTGAGTGAGCTTTATAAAGAAAAGACTGTGAAGTACTTTTAAAAGGTAAATTGATTATTGTTGTCTTATGGTTAGATTTTATGCAGGTATTTTGCCAGGGAATTAATTTTAGTCTTTGGAAAAGGAAATGTATGTTGTTCTAACATCATGTGCTTCCTAGTATAGTGTTTCTGTATGAGCTTTTTAAAATGGCATGTATACACTTTTGGGGAAGATATTATATCCAGCGGTATATAGATATGGGGCAGAGATGTTTGGTAATTTGTAAATTTATAACAGTAATTTTGGGGAGATCAAACTTACTTTTTACCTTCAAACCTATAGTAATGATAAATACCATAGTATGTTTTGAAAAGACTATAGACTAAAAATTCCTCCTCTGGTCTCACTTCATGTCCTTCTTATATTAGGGCCCCAGAACTGGACACAGTGCTCTGGGTGGGGTCTTGTAAGAGCAGTTTAGAGGGGGAGAATCACCTCCCTCGACCTGCTGGCCACACTTCATTTGATGCAGCCCAGGATATGGTTGGTTTTCTAGGCTGCAAGCACACATTGCCAGCTCATGTGGAGATTCTTATCAACCAACACCCACAAAGCCTCCTCCTCAAGGCTGATCTCAATCCATTTTCCACCCAACCTGTCTTTGTGCTTGAGATTGCCCAACCCAGGAGCAAGACCTTGCACTTGGCCTTGTTGAACTTCATGAGATTTACATGGGCCCACCTCTAAAGCCAGTCAAGGTCCCTCTGGATGGTATACCTTCCCTCCGGCATGTCAATCACATCACACAGCTTGGTGTCGCCAGCAATCTTGCTGAGGATGCACTCAATCCCACTGTCCATGTCACCAGCAATGATAAACATTAAACAATGCTGGTCCCAGTACTGACCCCTGAGGAACTCCACTTGTCACTGGTCTCCACTTGGACATCGAACTGTTGACCCCGACTCTTTGAGTGCAACCATCCAGCCAATTCCACAGAGT